TCTGATTCCTCCGGCTCTCTTCTCCCCTTCCCTTCTCTATACTCAGATTAACGGGATCAATTCCCCTGTAGAACTGAGGCACTGCAGTGGGTGGGAGGAGAGCTGAGAGCCCCCCCCCGTCAGACAGATTGATAATGGCAAAATGTCGCAGTGAGAGGAAAGGAATATCAGGGTCGGAGATAAGTCACACTGTGCTCGTGATTATTTTTATAGTTATGTTGCAGAGGTAAAGAGAGGAGAGCGGCAGAGTTTCTCTGTGGGTCGAGTTGTGACTAACTCCTTACAGCCATGCAGATCTCTGCTTCATTTCTGGCCTCTGCTCTCAGCCTGAACAGCGCTGCATGTTTCTAACTGTCCTCAAGATGAGTAAGCTCCTGGAGGATGAGAAAAACTGCACATAAGGATTACAGTTCTTCTTCCAACGCATATCAATATGCAAGCATTGGGATTCAGCGTTGATGAAAAGGAGATTACATGCTGGTTGATTTGATAAATGATTGCAACGTTAAATGTTTTTTGGTTTTTGTTTGGGAGAGAGAGAGGGGTGTGGCATGTGGCAAAGGTCACCAATGATTTGAACCCAGGATGTAACGTTTACATGGCATATGCTGTGTCACTCGGCAACAAGGAGCTCCAAATGTGTGACATTCAAAGCAAACTATTATTCAATCATTACAGAAATCATTAACAGTTTGCCATACAATGTGCACAGCATACAGTTGGGTAGCCTTTTATGTAGTTAAACGTTTAAAATGAAAAAGAATGACACTTGACAGGTTACTAGCTAGAGCTTCAGCTGCACTTGAATGCTAATTTGTTCCTATAGCTCTTAAATTGTAATCAGAGTACAACGTGATCACTTTACAGCCAGCTTGGAGAGTCGGGGGTACAACTATAACCAACAAATATTGTAATGCATGTACTGTATGAGTGTGTTTATATACTTTGAACTTAGAACAGTTTTTTGGCCTCTTGGGGGCAGAGGAAACATTTATTTTAACATTCAATGTTTGCAAAACGATTTTTTTTTACAAAGCATCTGTTATCAATCAGATGAGCTGAAAAGTCCTCTGAAGCTCTGTTAAAACTGAGTGGAGCTGCAGAGTGAGGTGATAATTGTCTCATTAATGAAAACAGAACCTGCTTTGTGATGGATTAAAGGTGAGGTAACGGGAAGCTCTGTCCTCCGCTCAGCTGCAGATGATTCTCCACCCTGCTGTCACCAGCATCCTGACTGTGGCTCCCTTCAAACAACACACACTAATAACTGCAGCACTCCTCCACCTAAATGACAGCAGGTGGTGACAGTTAAACAGCACCCCCTTCTGAATGTGTGTATGTGTGTGTGCGTGCGTGCGTGCGTGTGTGTGTGTAATAGTATAAACACTGTGACAGCTCGGTCAGCTGCAGGGAGGTGCCTGAGGGTGTACCCACACATATACACACACACACACACACACACACACACACACACACACACACACACACACACACACACACACACACACACACACACACACACACACACACACACACACACACCAGGGAGCGCCTCAGGTGGGACTGTACTAAATGTTTACACTGTCAAATGTAATAACTTTTTAGGGGTGTGACTTTCTCTTTTTGGCCCACTCTTTCCCATGAGTTGGTTTCCAGTGTTTCATCTCACTAACTGATGCTGAAATATCTTTGAGAACGATTCTTAGGTAAACATGAGATGCCAGTGAATAGTGGCTGTATCTGCCATGTTTGCATTGCTAAAATAGTAGCTTTGCGTGCGTCTTTCCCTCCCGCGGTGTACATAAGACCGGTCAAATGTACGCACATGTTTCCAAAGCCTAATTTCTCTCAACTCAGAAATGTTGCATTATTAACCTTACAGTAACAGCCCCTTTTTAATTCTTAATACATGTATTCCATTGAAAATCACCACTAAGAGGAAGTGTCCTAAAATATGTGACGAAAGTTATATTTCTTCCCGGTGTGAAGTTAGAGGGACAGTAATAGACACACACCTCATCACAGCTACAGGCACTGATGGACGTTTCCTCCGCCAGGCCTGATCCCTGATCAGCCAACAAGAGTTTAAACATGGGAAATGTTTGTGGCCTGCCAGTGGAAGAAAAGGACCTAAATTGAGCAACAATCCAGATACAGTTCAACTTTAGAGAGTATATTTATTTACACCAAGTGGCAATTATATGACGTGGTAACAGCCACATTAAACGAGTGAAATCCTGGAAATGCTTGCTTTTGGGTCATGGTGTAAATACTTTTCTACGATGGCTCTACAAAATACACAAGTGATCTGTGTGTAAAAGTCGCACTGTAGCAAGATTTTAATGTGGGAATAAAAAGAAAACCTGTGTCTCATTACAAAATGGGGGAGACATAGAGAAGAGTCCGTCAGGAATCTTTCTAATCACATGATGTACCAAACTAAAATATACATACGTATTTAAGTAAAGATGTCATGGAAAGAGGATTCCCTTTTTTTTTTCTTTGGTATATTGCGAAAAGGTTTACTCCAACAAACTAGTATTGCACTCTCATAATGTTGGCAGACTTACAAATGTCAAACTAAAACTAGCATTACCACCTCACAGTAGTTGAATTCCTCTGTCAACTTAGCTGCAGTTCACATAGATGTCTGTCCAAAATATCTCCAATACATTATCGTACCCTTTGAAAAATGTTTATGAAATTAAAATGAATAGCATGTATTGATTATTGAGTACCGGCTAAAAAAAGCCTGTTTGGTCACAGTGATCATACCTTTCGATTAGAAAAGTATAATCAGGTCAACACAATGCCTCCGTGCTCGGATGATCCATATTTAAGCAGCAGAGGTATCCCAACTTTTGGTCCCTCGTAGAATAAGCTCATCTCCAAAAACTTTAGACCCTTCAAAATCAATGATGGAAGCAGAAAGCATGTTTCCCTCCAGGCCTGGTGCATATCTCATTGTTAAACTACGCTGCACTTCCGCTGCGTCACGACTAATTACAGGACTTTGGACACTTTAAGGTCAAATGTCTCACAAGGAAAGGACTCTGACTGTCTATAGGTGTTAGCCACTATTGTAGTTCTGAAAATGTGTTGATGCTCATACAACTGGATGCATTGACGTATTTATTTATGTATTTTCTGCTTAGTCTTTAGGATGAAGGAGTTTTCAAAGATCCTTGTTTATACACATAATAGTTTCTTAACTTGAACCATGGCACAGAGGAGCCCCGCAGCAACACACTGTGTTAATGTGTTGTGTTACTTCTCAAGATTGTTGCCATAACATTAAAAACTAACGGCTGAGAGACAAATAAAAGAGCAACAGAGAAGTTGGGGAATATCTGTCACCTAAATACATATATTTAATTTGTATTGAGCAGATGAGTCGTGTTGCTGTCTTTTAATTAATGCTGTGTGACAGACATCTTAGGATGCCTGGGCAGAGTCTGCCTGAGAGGAATCAGTGTGCCATCTTTACACATGCAGAACAGAAGCTACAGTAAGAAGCCCATACAAATATACACAGAAACAAACACACACACACACACACACACACACACACACACACACACACACACACACACACACACACACACACACACACACACACACACACACACACACACACTGCACCCCCACAGCAGTGCAGTCATCCTTCATCTGTCCTCCACCGCTGGCAGCGCCCGCAGCTGCTGCACAGCCAAAGATACAATAATGAGTCTGCCCACTTTAGTTACCATCGGCTTAGATAAACTTCGAGAGATACACAGAGATACATGAGGAAAGATAGCCATGTTGTTTAGCAACGTTTATGGCTAAACATAATATAATAAAACACTTTTTTCCATTGGTCAAATTGGGTGTGTCCAAGTTGTTCACTAAACAACACTCAAAACACTGGCAACATAGAGATGTAATTCATGTCCTATAACTGAGCTTATACGCATTAGAACATAGTTCTACCATATAGAAAAGGTCTTACTTGCAAGTAATAAACATTCATTTGAAAGTTACTTCTCCTACATCTTATTTTTTTTTTTTTACATGTTTCCACCAAGTCATTATATCCACAACACTGATGATTACTTATCAGAAATCTCATTGTGTAAATATTGAATGAAAGCACGATAGTCAACCTTAGAATATCCTCAGCTACACCTGCGGCAAATACAATTATCATTGTCCAGTGAAACCTGTAAACAGTTTTGTTTCTGTCTGGTCTGGAGCTGGTTTTTGAGGAATAACTAGACTGCATCTAAGAGTCTAAAATCCCAACACTGCTCCTGAGGCATCGTTGTGAAAGACTAGAGTCAAAGTTTTATTTTTAAAGTCAGTCTGTCACAGAGATTGTCTATCACTGTAGCATCTAAATTCCCCTTTCAGTAGTCATGCTCTTTCATGTAGATTTTGGGGATTAAATCTATTTGTATGTATTCCCCTGGATTAACATGTCAAAAAGTACTTCTGGGAAATCACAAAAAGATCAGTTTGTGTGAGTTTTCCACAGCACAGCGGTGCCAGTAAGCTTATTCTCCATGCGCCTCTGCCCTCTTTCTGTGCGTGTGCACCTCACACTGTGATGAAAGACTTTTTCTGTCTCTTATCTGACTCTGCAGTGATTTATGAACAGAGCCAGACACGGGGTGAAACAAGGGAGAACACCAGCGAGTTACAGAAACCATGAGGCGGAGAGCACGGCACCGCGTGTAAATCTAATGCTGCACTATATAATCGTTACAGCCCAGTGTAGATGATGGCGATGATTATGAATGCATAGAGATCGTATCAAATCTAATCATGGCCAAAGAGGATTTTGTGCGTTTGTCATGGACGTGTCTTTATCCATATGTGAGTCTCTGTGTGGACACACTTTGTTACATAACAGATCTGCATGCATATGGGTCAGACGCGCTTGATCAGCATAATGATGGTGACAGCATGAAAACACGACAAGCTTTTAAACTAGGGGTATTGAGATTTGGAGGGGGGTGTTGTTGTTGTTGTTGTTATTGTAGTCTTCGCTGAACTGTCTGAGGGTTGTGTGTGTTTGGAGTTTCGTGAGTGCTGATTATGCGTGAGGCTGTGTTATATTTTATGACAAGATTGAACAATGTTTTAATGTTGAGGTGATGAAATAATGATAGATTACGGTTACATAGATCTTTAATGCACATGCCTTATGACGGGATGAATCGGAAAACATGTCTTTTTTGTTTGAAAGGTTATTCGAAAATGATGGTTTCTAATATGGCAACTTTGCACTATTTGTTGATTTTTATGGTATGTTTTCAACCCTTTAACTCAGGGATTAAACATCTTTGCTTACTCATACAAAATGTAACCAGGCCTCATTTTATATATTTATTAATTACTTTTTTTGCAGCCCACTTAATATATGTAAATTGAGTTCTTCTCTCATTTGACTAAGAGGGGTAAAAAATCTAGTTTCTGATAATATTAACTCACAGCTTTTCACAGAGTAGACTTTTATACAAATAAACTTGATGGTGTCTGGGCTCAACACTGCTGTGTGTTATTCTCATGCTGTGCTGTTATCCTCCAACTCACCGGTGATGACCAGAGTGTGTGTGACCCCCGCCTCGTTGAGCATGCGCTGGATGTGGTTGTTGTAGAGCGTGAGCGCCTGGCCCTTCCCGCTCTGTGGGTTCACCAGCAGCATCATCCGGCTGGGACGGGACAGCGCGCTCATCATCACCCCTACAGGACAGGACACAGAACAAGGGTTTCAAATCAAGGCTTTCTGTTAGAAAAATATCACTCGTCACCGACTTGGGCTTCAATGTCAGGATACATGTATTTATTATGCTTGCAAGACTGGAAGTAGTCATCACATACAGAGCATATGGTACAACCACTGTATGTGACAACGATTAACATGATGATTCAGCCTCTATGGAGATAGACATATGACAAGTATGATCATTTCTGACGTGGGTCTTAGCTAATCTGAACTAAGCATAGAATACTGCTTTGAACCGGTATTCATCTTGTGAGTGAATAGCACCCTCTCTTGTATATAAAGCATCTGAAGGACACTGCTCTGGGAACTACAGAAGCTATCATATGTCTAAAACAGTCCTGACGCTCTTCTAGGTAATCATACATCCGGCTACGTACACAGCTTCGTAGGGCCTTTGTTATCATGTGCTACTCTGATATTAGAAGAGTACATTCAGTATTTTCCCAACACTTTCTTATACAGTTTTTCAAACATTTGGACTGACGGCACAGACTCTCTTCACAGTGTAAATCTTACAGCTGCCTCCTGTTAAACATAGTTTCCTTTTTCTATTTTACATAATATGTTATTTAGTTGACTTATTCTGATATTTTACTTGCACCATTGATTGATCTGCAGTTTTTTACTTTCTTATTTCTTTTTATCTTGTCTTAGCGAGGGTCTAAAGATTTATTTTATTTAGTTATTTTTCAAACAAACACCAATTTTTTTGGAAACATTTCACTTTTGTACTTTTGTATTATTATATTTTGTTACACAGATGCTCATCTACGAGTTATTACTTTTCCTTTTATCTCGTTGCATGGCTATGAGGTCCATACTTTCATCTTTTTTTTTAATGTGAACTCTAAAGAAGTTGGCATTTTATTAAAGTAATGTTTGCAAACACTCTTATATTTTAAGGAAAAGGCTAATCCCCAGGAGGGCTGGTTTAGTAAGCATCACAAGCAGGGAACATTTCTACAGTGGAGGACAGCAGATTGGATTTGCAGACACACAAATGTAAACACCTTTATATCTTCAAACAGACTTGATGGATTCTGCTGCAAAGGAAAGTCAGAGGTGCACAAAGGTTGTTGTTGCTTTAAAGCTGAATATATTATACCAAAGGAAAGAAGCTCCACAGTTCAACTCAGGACCAGGGGAGAAGAAGTAATGATGGTAAAATGCTGCAATGGAAACCCTCACATATTCATATATTATATCCCAGAATGTCTTTTAGAGCACAGCAGGAGGCTGGAGGAGGAGGAGGAGGAGGAGGATGAACTGGAAGAGGCTGGCTCTGGTCTGGGGAGGATTCATCGAGAATTGCAAGCATCAGACTTTGCCATTCCAAAATACAGTAGGTTTTAAATTAATATCTGAGAGTAGACAATGTGACATTGGATGATATATGGATATGATAAAGGTAAGCGCACAGTGATTAAACTGTGCTCATGTTCAACAGGGAACGGGTCGTTCTGAGAAAAGAAGATATGACAATAAATGAACAGTAACTAAAATATTAAAGAAACTCAATTATTGATTCATGTAAGAATGTTTTTCCTTCCCCCCATAGAAATGTGAAGCAAAGTTATTATCATTAAATCTGTTTTTGTCACGTCTGAGCCGGGAGAGAATTCAAGTAAAAAAAGTGACAGGAAGCCATCAGGCGCATTTGACAGGTTTCAGCGGTGGGACAGCTTTACAGAAAAGTACACACAGTGCTCTCTGTTGTAGAAACGCCACGCTGCAGTAAGGCTGCTTTCCATGTCACGCCTAGTTAACTCACTCACACAAACAAACTAGTGGTGCACGACAATTATCGTTCCGATATTAGGAATTATGACGTCATCCTGATAAACCCGATAAAAGTATTAATAGCCCCGATAATATAAAATATATTTTTTGGGTAAAAAAAAAGAAAAAAATACTGCGGTGTGGGTGGATTGGGATGAGGGGCGCTTGTTTTTCACTCGGCTCCTCCCGTTTTGCCAGTACTGTGGTATTAGTAGTTTAGGAAGAGGGGAGTTTTTCACAAATCCAGCGCTCCCTAACTCATGCCTGGCTGTGACGTAAATGGTGTGCGGCCGTGAAGCCAGGACAGTAAACAAACATGTCGTCGGTAGTATGGGACTATTTCAAAGTTTCATAGTTAGATAGTTCGCTTGCTATTTGTATTAACAAATGCAATGCAGAAGTTCCACGAGGAGGGAAAAAGGCAACGAGCTATAATACTTCCAACCTGATTAGTCACCTGAAACATCGCCATCGCTACGATGGTGCGTTAAAAGCGTACGAAGACGCCTGCGCTGCTAAACTAGCGGCGAAACCAAAGCTAGCTGCAAAGGCACCGGGGCTTTTACCTATCGACGAGGCTTTTGAAAAAGGCAAGAAGTTTGCCAGAGATGACCCCACCCCCACCTACTAGTCTTTTTTTTACCACCAGGTGTGCAAAAACTACAGGTATATATTATATTATTATCGGTTATCGGTATCGGTATCGGTCTTGAGAAGCAGGAAGTTATCGGTATCGGTTTCAAAAAACCAATATCGTGCATCCCTAAAACAAACAAACAAACAAACAAAACTGTTTCCGTGAAGCAGCCGGATAGGCAGAAAACCCGCAGTGAGATTTCTCCTCACTTGGTTTTGCAGTCTGCTGTTTTGAAAAAAAAATCAAAACTGTGTGAGCGTGGAGGGAGGAAAAACCATCCAAACAAGTCTGACAGTAGATACGTGAGTAACGATGGGCGGGATCAACTGCAGTCAGGGCTGAGCTGCTCAACCTGATTAGCAGGTTTACATGAAATGGATATTACACAGCGGGCTCACCGGGATCCCACTGGAATGTCTTAAAACATGCAACAAAACACGTTAACACACATCAAAATGTTTCTGTTCACTTGACCTAACCTCAACTCATTGGTCTTCGAGCATGGCGAGATGTAGGTATGTTATGTACACCTTTTAAATGCCAAAAACAAGTTCACAGTCTTGTAGGGTTTAGCCATTTTGTCTGTGTGATGAATATTTCTATAGAGTATGGCTGCAACATTCAAATATCAATTTATCTGCCAAAATGTCCATCCTAGTCTCTCAAAGCTCTAATTAAGTGTCATGTTTTTTCAGTCCAAAATATTCATTTAATATGTATTATAATTAATAACGTTTTTTTTTGTGATAAAAAACAAGCGTCTTTGAGCCCGGGTAAAAGTGCTTTATAAATATTATGTATTATTAAAAAAACAATTAGAGTTTTCCCTTTATGCCATTTTTGCATGAAAAATCTCTTTAAAGTTTACCCAATTAGCAGAATAATTGGCGACATCTTTTCTGTGTATCAAATAGTTCAGCTATCGTCCAAATCGTAAACGACTGGACTTGTGAGGGAAAGCCACAGAAGTGCCCTCATGAATTAGCTGGCAGGACAGCGGGAACTGAAGGGGCTGACCTGCAGTCTGTTTGCCCCCCCGACACCCACGCAGAGCTCGTTGGCTAAATCCAACCCCATGCCACTTCCTGTGTGCCGCCCCTCCCCTTCTCCAAACATTCCAGAGGCTCTATCTGTCGTCTCGTCTCCGTCCACGCTCAGCGTTTCCTCCCCTGTCATTAGCTGCAGTGACATCATGGCATCGAGCCAAAGACTGACATCTAATAAGACGGACTAGAATCAACAGAACTTTAATTTATAACCCTGTACTGTATCTATAATTAAACTGTATCCAGTCCACCATGCAGGGAATTTAACTGTGTATTTTTAACCAAAAGGGAGGTTATTATTGGGGATGGGGGGTTAAGACAGCAGATAAAGTGTCTGGTTTGCTTGTATAGGACTGGGCGTAGTCCTGATTATGAAGTCATGATATACATTGCTACTTAAAGGTCAAAGACACTTCATTTAACAAATCTTGTCATCACAACTGTTTGTTTCTGCGTTATCAGTTTAAGGACTGCAATGGTACAGTAGTAGAGTGAAACTTTTTTGATAATCTTTCAAATTGTCAAATGAGATATTTTTTCTGCTTCTCTGTTTAATATCATATCTAAGTTAATATATTTGGTTGACAAGACATTAAGTGACATCATCTTGGACGTTGAGAAACTGCGATGGACAGATTTTTTAACTAAACCAAAAATATGGCGAAGACTTCGGTTAAGACTAGAATTATTGTGACAAAAAATGTAAATTACTGCCCTGGAAGAAGTGAAAAGTGGAAGATGCTACTTCATCCTGACTTAATCGTCATCATCATCACAAACAGCAGCCAGGACAAATAGGAAGAAAAACAACACTTCAGCAACAAAGCTCTGCATCTCCACTTTTAACTTGATCTGTGATTACAGCCGTCTCATGTGTTCTCTTCAAACCAACAGCATGGGAACTTTCCCAGATCTTAATGAAATAATCACTACTGAGGTACTCGCCATAGGAAATGACAGCACAAATGAAAGGGGAAAACCCACGAGCCGGGAAAAAAACCACTTTTTTTCTAGCAAGGTTCCCCATAATAGCTGGATGGGTGTTTAAAGAGTCTGAGAATAGACAGCTTTCTTGCATTCAGCAGGATGTCAGCTTCTATTAAGCAGACACAGAAATAAAATATAAGCCTTAAATGTAACCACTGTTCAGCACCATGAAAAAGGACAGATTTACTATTTGATCAAATGTTATTATAATTAAGAATATTTGAATGTATTATCATGCTGGCTTTTAATATAAAATCAGGGTGACATTCAAACATTACTGTTTCATCCTCATTATTTAAATCCATCATCCATGACCTTAAATGGCCACTCTTTCCTTTTTAAGTGTCATTGTTGCTTGACTCACACTGACTCATTGTGATGACCTGCGCAGACGTCAGTCACTTTAACTTGTGTCACACTCAACTTCCCAAAATCAGCTCCCCATCAGCAGTGAAGCATGACAAAGCAATAACTGTCTGCGATTAGGGAATGAAGAAGCAATCCTGAT